GGGAGAGCTTGGGGGTGGGGGAGGGGGTGGTAGCTGGGCCTGGGCCCCAGGGACCCCTGAAGCCGGAAGGCTGGCTTCCAAGGCTTATGCCCTGAAAGGTGCCGCCCTTCTTCAGGCCCGAAAGGAAATGGCAAAGCTCACGGTTTGCGGAAGATCGCCGAGAAGGCGGAGCGGAGTGGGCAGGGCGGTAGCAGCTCTGGGCTGCCCAGGTGCGTAGCTGCGAGTAACAACCCTGTGCTTTCTGGCTTCCTTCTCAGACCTTCAATCCTACTTTTCTAATGGCTAATAGCCTCCCGTTCTGAGTCAACGAAGAAAATAAATAAATAGAAGCTTTGATTTCACTCTTCTCAGAACATAGACCCAGAAATTTGACTTCAGAGAATAATTATTTTTTAAAAGAGGAAATTTTGCCAACTTACCCAAAACCAAGTGAGATAAAGCATCCAGGAAACCATTCATGGCATCAGTTGGGAATTGGTACAATTTACCCACCCTGCTTCTTACTTTTTCCTAATGATGTCCCCAAAAGAGGATTTCAGATTCTGGGTAGTGTGCCAACAGTGAACAGAGACATGGAGAACCAAGTCCAGAAAGTGCTAACTAATTGTGTTGTTTTTTTGTTAGCTGTCAGTTGGGAGTCGCAGGGGAGAAAAGCCTGCAAGAAAGTAGCGCTAGTGAAGAAGAGACCCAGGATGAGAAGATTGCTCCATTGAGCGTATGTATGTTTCTCCTGTGATCCATGGATACACTTAGTTTACAAACCAGCAGTACCTGATGTACCTCCAGATGAAGGTATAATGTGGTGTGGTCTTTGTTCAGTAGAGACTACATAGCTTTCTAATGTTTTTATAAACATTGATGCTGTGTCTTCAGGTAGGGCCTTGAGTTTCTGATTTTGGCAGATTCATAGCCATGCATTTTTGTTTTTTCTTTCCCTTGACATAAGTTTGAGAATTGTCTACCACTGGCTAATTTTCTGCATGACAGATAGAAAACGTTTCTAATGTTTCTTGTGTTTCCAACTCCCTTCTGTCCTTAAACATTTTAAAGCCATTTTCATGTTGTCCCATTTGACTTTCCATTAACAACTAGAAACAGAGGATTCATTACCGTTAGAATATGGTATAACTTCTTGATCTACTGTATTTAATATGAACTCTGTTTAATATTTTAGAGATGGATAGCAGTAGTTTGGAGAAACTCAGATTTTAAAAATTGTTTGTGATTCACCTGACATTAGCCTTAAAGTTGATAGTTATGTTCCAGTGTTTTAGTTTATTCCTCTATAACATGTTTTTTAAGGGAAGGCAGTTTCAACCAAAATCATTTTTTTTAAAAGCCTTTTACCCCATATTATAACTGTTCCTTGTAGATGATTCAGACTACTCAAAAAGTGTTTAAGCAGTTTCTTTTAATTTTTATATATTTCTTTCCATTCTTTTTTGTGTGCCTTTTTTTCATTTTACAAATTATCTCATTGTATATTCCTCTAACATTAAATAGTCTTCAAAAATATGCTTTTTAGCCCTGGCTGGTGTGGCTCAGTTGGTCAGGCATTGTCCTGTGGACAGAAAGGTTGCCAGTTCAATCCCCGATCTGGACACATGCCTGGGTAGCAGGCTTGATCCCTGGTAGGGGGTGTGAAGGAAGCAGCTGATTGATGTTCCACTCTCACATCGATGCTTTTCTCTCTTTCCCCGCTTCCTCTCTCACTAAAAATAACCTATAGAAATACTTAAAAATATGTAATTTTTAGTGTCTTGCATAATGCTTAGTCTTATAGGTATATTGTAATTATATAACTTTTCCTGTGGTTAAAGGATTAAAATTGTTTCCAAGGTTTTGCTCTTAGAGGTGTCAGTGGATATCTTGCTGCAGAAGTTTTCTTTGTATTCCTTTTTATCATAAGACAAATACTTTCCAGTGGGTCAAAGGTTGGATCATGTTTAAATGTTTTAACTCATGTTGGCAAATCCTCACCATCTTACCTGAAACTTAAAAAAAAACAAACATATATTTGATACATGAAAAGTAGGATATTGTCTCACCTTCCATTTCTTTGAATGCTGGTAAAGTTAAGACCTTTTTCTCTCATTTCATTGGCCATTTGTGTTTCTTTTTTGTGAAATACTTGTTCATTATCTACTGAAGGTAGTCACACTTTTACACACACATATGTAACAAATACTTCCTTATTTGCTTGCCTTTAATTTTATTTCTGGTAAATTAGGCTTATCTGTCAATCTGTTTATCTATTTTGTTTTCATATTTAGAAGGAAAAAAGCCCTTCCTACCTAGGGGTTCAGAAAAATATTCAGGCCCTAGCTGACTTTGCTCAGTGGTTAGAGCGTCAGCCTGTGGACTGAAGGGTCCTGGATTCAGTTCTGGCCTCAGTTGCAGGCTTGATCCCCAGTTGGGGTGAGTGTGGGAGACAACCAATCGATGTGTCTCTCACATTGATGTTTCCCTCCCCCCCTC